TGCCCTTTTGAAAACATACTTGGCCAGAATTCGTCAAACACGACATAGATTCGGCGATAGTAGGCGTTTCACAGTCTTTTTGCATGTTGAAAACATAATCTACTAAAAGGAAGAAAAAATTGTTGCTGCTGCGCCTACAGGTCGAAGAACTTGCTGAAGGCGTCGTAGTCGCCGCCGTCGTCGTCCTCCTTCTCCTTCTTCACACCGCGGCCGTCCTTGCTAGACCCTTGCCCGGGGTCGCCCCATCGGACTGGTTTGGCCGGTGGCGGCGCCTCGTCGTCGTTGTCCTCGAGGACGATGACGCCTCCTTCGTCGCGCCCACCGTGCCGAACGGCGATCTCCTCTAGGGCGTGGCGCTGGCGCTCCATCTCCAGCCGGGTCTAGTCCTCCCGCGCCCACTTCATGGCGGCCTCGTCGTCGAGTGTCGTCATGTCATCATGCTCGCTCTTCACGGGGGCGAGTCCTGGCTCCATCTTCGGCTTGACGAGGCGGGAGGTAGGAGCCGAGGAGGCGCGGGCGCCCTCGTTGATGACGAGGGCGGCGCCGCGGGTGCGTCGGCCGAGCGGCTCTTCCACGGGCTCGACCTTGACGCTGACGAGCGCCGGCGACCCGTAGGAGTGGGAGGAGTATCGGGAAGAGGAGGAGGAGAAGGACCCGCCCAACATGCGCCTCGGCAGCCACAGGCCGCCACTCCGGCGAGGGGCCGGGGCCGCCGGGTACTCGAGGACGGTGTGGAGCGTGCGGCCGGGGGCGCCCAACCATAGGGGGTGGCCGTCGCTATTGTTGCGCCCCCTTACCACCGGCGCTTTGTTGATGGAGGCCAGCTTCGAAGTACGCCGCCCACTACGCGTGGTTGCCGGCGCTGTACTCCGGGAGGTCCTGCTCCTCCTCCGGCAGAGAGGCCCGAACATGCTGGATCTCGGTGTGAAAGTAGCCGGGGTGGTCGACGTCGGGCAGCGGGGGGACTGGGACACTCCCGGCGCTGAGCCTCCATCGCCCCGACGCGCGCATGTCAGAGGGCGCCGGGTAGTTCGCCTCGTGGAAGAGGTGGGCTTCCCACTCGTGCAGGTGGCGGCAACCGAAGTCGTTGGCTGCCGCTCCATCATCGGGGAACCGCTCTCCCATCGGCGGGGCGTGCACGCGGTGGCTAGGTGGGGAGAGTGGGGAAGAGAGGGCGTCGACGGTGAGAGAGGAGGGTTGCGTGCGGTTGCGTCCATCGGTGATGGAAGGGCCCGACATTTATAGCGGTCGGGGGCGGCAAACGTGTTGGGGAACGTAGTAATTTCGAAAAAATTCTTACTCTGGTAGACCTACGAGGTTCAGTAGAAACTTGATCTGAAGTTTCATGATCAATATCATTAGCTTCCTCACTAATTGGTATAGTTGTCACAGGAACTGGTTCTTGTGATGAACTACTTTCCAATAAGGGAGCAGCTACAGTTACCTCATCAAGTTCTACTTTCCTCCCACTCACTTCTTTCGAGAGAAACTCCTTCTCTAGAAAGGATCCGAATTTAGCAACGAAATTCTTGCCCTCAGATTTGTGATAGAAGGTGTACCCAATAGTCTCTTTTGGGTATCCTATGAAGACACATTTCTACGATTTGGGTTCGAGCTTATCTGGTTGAAGTTTCTTGACATAAGCATCGCAACCCCAAACTTTAAGAAACGACAACTTTGGTTTCTTGCCAAACCACAGTTCATAAGGCGTCGTCTCAACGGATTTTGATGATGCCCTATTTAAAGTGAAAGCGGTCGTCTCTAAAGCATAACCACAAAATGATAGCGTTAAATCAGTAAGAGACATCATAGATCGCACCATATCCAGTAAAGTACGATTACGACGTTCGGACACACCATTTCGTTGTGGTGTTCCGGGTGGCGTGAGTTGCGAAACTATTCCGCATTGTTTCAAATGTAAACCAAACTCGTAACTCAAATATTCTCCTCCATGATCAGATCGTAGAAATTTTATTTTCTTGTTACGATGATTTTCCACTTCACTCTGAAATTCTTTGAACTTTTCAAATGTTTCAGACTTGTGTTTCATCAAGTAGATATACCCATATCTGCTCAAATCATCTGTGAAGGTGAGAAAATAATGATACCCGCCGCGAGCCTCAATATTCATTGGACCACATACATCAGTATGTATGATTTCCAACAAATCAGTTGCTCGCTCCATAATTCTGGAGAATGGCGTTTTAGTCATCTTGCCCATGAGGCACGGTTCGCAAGTACCAAGTGATTCATAATCAAGTGATTCCAAAAGTCCATCAGTATGGAGCTTCTTCATGCGCTTTACACCGATATGACCTAAACGGCAGTGCCACAAATAAGTTGCACTATCATTATTAACTCTGCATCTTTTGACTTCAACATTATGAATATGTGTATCACTACTATCGAGATTTAATAAAAATAGACCACTCTTCAAGGGTGCATGACCATAAAAGATATTACTCATATAAATAGAAGAACCATATTATTCTCTGATTTAAATGAATAACCGTCTCGCATCAAACAAGATCCAGATATGAAGTTCATGCTCAATGCTGGCACCAAATAACAATTATTTAGGTCTAGTACTAATCCCGATGGTAGATGTAGAGGTAGCGTGCCGACCGCGATCACATCGACTTTGGAACCATTTCCCACGCGCATCATCACCTCGTCCTTAGCCAATCTTCGCTTAATCCGTAGTCCCTGTTTCGAGTTGCAAATATTAGCAACAGAACCAGTATCAAATACCCAGGTGCTACTGCGAGCATTAGTATGTACACATCAATAACATGTATATCACATATACCTTTGTTCACTTTTCCATCCTTCTTATCCGCCAAAAACTTGGGGCAGTTCCGCTTCCAGTGTTCAGTCTGCTTGCAGTAGAAGCACTCAGTCTCAGGCTTAGGTCCAGACTTGGGTTTCTTCTCCTGAGCAGCAACTTGTTTGCTGTTCTTCTTGAAGTTCCCCTTCTTCTTCCCTTTGCCCCTTTTCTTGAAACTGGTGGTCTTGTTAACCATGAACACTTGATGCTCCTTCTTGATTTCTACCTCCGCGGCTTTTAGCATTGCGAAGAGCTCGGGAATAGTCTTGTCCATCCCTTGCATATTATAGTTCATCACGAAGCTCTTGTAGCTTGGTGGCAGCGGTTGAAGAATTCTGTCAATGGCACTCTCATCAGGAAGATTAACTCCCAGTGGAATCAAGTGATTATTATACCCAGACATTTTGAGTATGTGTTCACTGACAGAACTATTCTCCTCCATCTTACAGCTATAGAACTTATTGGAGACTTCATATCTCTCAATCCGGGAATTTGCTTGAAATATTAGCTTCAACTCCTAAAACATCTCATATGTTCCATGACGTTCAAAACGTCGTTGAAGACCCGGTTCCAAGCTGTAAAGCATGGCACACTGAACTATCGAGTAGTCATCAGCTTTGCTCTGCCAGACGTTCTTAACGTTGTCAGTTGCATCAGCAGCAGGCCTGGCACCCAGCGGTGCTTCCAGGACGTAATTCTTCTGTGCAGCAATGAGGATAATCCTTAGGTTACAGACCCACTCCGTGTTATTGCTACCATCATCTTTCAACTTAGCCTTCTCAAGGAACGCATTAAAATTCAACGGAACAACAGCACGAGCCATCTATCTACAACAAACATGGATAAGCAAAATACTATCAGGTACTAAGTTCATGATAAATTTAAGTTCAATTAATCATATTACTTAAGAACTCCCATTTAGATAGACATCTCTCTAGTCATCTAAGTGATCACGTGATCCAAATCAACTAAACCATGTCCGATCATCACGTGAGATGGAGTAGTTTCAATGGTGAACATCTCTATGTTGATCATATCTACTATATGATTCACGTTCGACCTTTCGGTCTCCGTGTTCCGAGGCCATATCTGTATATGCTAGGCTCGTCAAGTTTAACCTGAGTATTCTGCGTGTGCAAATGTTTTGCACCCATTGTATTTGAACGTAGAGCCTATCACACCCGATCATCACGTGGTGTCTTAGCACGAAGAACTTCCGCAACGGTGCATACTCAGGGAGAACACTTCTTGATAATTTAGTGAGAGATCATCTTAAAATGCTACCATCAATCAAAGCAAGATAAGATGCATAAAGGATAAACATCACATGCAATCAATATAAGTGATCTGATATGGCCATCATCATCTTGTGCTTGTGATCTCCATCTCCAAAGCACTGTCGTGAACACCATTGTCACCGGCGCGACACCTTGATCTCCATCGTAGCATCGTTGTCGTTACGCCATCTATTGCTTCTACGACTATCGCTACTGCTTAGTGATAAAGTAAAGCAATTACAGGGCGTTTGCATTTCATACAATAAAGCGACAACCATATGGCTCCTGCCAGTTGCCGATAACTTTGGTTACAAAACATGATCATCTCATACAATAA